CCCAAATGGACTATAGATTATTATTATTATTTTTTATGAGAAATGTAGACAAACAAAAAATAAAAATTAATTGAAAAAACTATTTCACAACTTATTTAACAAACACTACTCAGCAACTTAAATCTATAATCCAACAGCTACACCAAACAGATTAACAACTTTTGATTAAAGTCATAATGTATAATCTGTTAAGTTATAATGTATAAGCTGTTTTAACAGCTACACCAAACGGGCCAAAGGCTTTGGAACTTCTTAACTAGTTAAATTTCTGAAGACTTACACACGTGGATTTGTCTACAGAGCAGAGCAAAGCAGAGGGGGAATGGGAAAAGAGACGGGAAGGAAGAAAGAAAAAAAAATAAAAAATTTCAAAACGACGTCGTTTTGAAATTGGACAGTCGAGCCGAAGTGAATTCGTGCTACGTAGTAGGGCTGAATTATCAATTCATACATGACCCAATATAATACTATTTCAATTTCCACCACACCTTTATTTTTTTGACAGTAAAATAAACTTTGTCTGGGTAACTAAGATTTCTAAACAAGAAAAAAAATAAAGCGATAATCAACTGTGCTGTTTGGTAACACTTACGTTTTCAATTTTCTGTTTATATTTACAAAAATTTAAAAAACTCAAATAAAAACTTGTTTGGTAAAATTTTTGATTTATAAATCAGTGGTCTCAGTTTATAAATTTAGCCAAAAAATGAAAACACAAAAAATGTGTTTCCATTTTGAGTTTTTAGTTTTTTTTTTTTTTACCACCCAACACTAGCCACCACCCCCCACCATTTTCCACCACCGTCTTCCGCCACCAGCACCCGGCCCCCCCACCATTTTATCCACCACCTTTCCCACCCCCCACCACCACTTGCCACCACCACTCACCACCCACTGCCACCACCACCCACCACCCGCCATTACCATCCACTGCCCGTCGCCACCACATGCCACCTACTTGCCATCACCACCCACCACCACCTGCTACCACATCCACCACCTGCCACCCACACCACCAGCCAGCTGTCACCGCACTCACCCGCCACCACCACCACCCGCCACCACCACCATCACCCACCGCCACCAACCTACCACCACTACTACCACCACCCACGCGCACCACCACACCACCGCCACCGTCACCCACCTACCCACCCTACCACCACTACCACCCGCCACCTACCCGCCACCCACCAACACCAGCCATCTGCCACCCCACTTTGCCACCACCACCCGCCGCCGCCGCCACCACCACCACTACCCATCGCTACCACCCACCACCCGCCATCGTCACCCACCCAACCACCATCACTACCTACCCGCCACCACCACCCACCTGCCATCCACTCGCCACCACCCCCCACCTACCCACCACCACCGTCACCCACTACCACCACCTACCACCTACTCGCCACCACCCACCACCACCCGCCATCCGCCTGCCACCGCTACCACCCACTCGCTACCACGCACCACCCACCACCTGCCGCCGTCACCCACCACCAGCTACCCACCACCCGCCGTCACCACTTTCTACCACCGTCTTTCGCCGCCACTTGCCACCACTTGCTATTTTTCACTCTTTTTATATTTTTAAAATTTTTTAAATATTTTGTCAATTACCAAACGCGTTTGTGGTTTATGTTTTTCTAAAAATAAACAAAAACCAGTTTATAAAATTTTTGTAAATATAAACTGAAAACGTAAACGTTACCAAACACAACGTACGTGTTTGGTATCGATTTTTCGAACTTATCTTTTTGAAAATTTTAGAGCTTTTGTTTGGTAGACTAAAAATCAAAAAAAAGTTTTCAAATTTTTTTTTTTTCAAATGCACACTTGAATGTGACTTTTTTTTTTCTTCTACTTTTTAATGTGACTTATTTTCTTTTCTTTTGTTTTATTTTTTTGTTTTATTTTTTGATGTGTCTGAATGATTCCAGCAAGATGACTGAAAGTCTAATATGGCGGGATTTTGAATTTTACGTTGACACAATATTTAATGTGGAGAGATTTTAAATTTAAAAACAAAATAAAATTTAAAATTACTTTTGCATTTGATGTCTTAAAAGTTTATAAGTTGGTTACTTAATTTTTTTTATGCCAATTTGTGATTAAATTACGTATTTTGTGGTTAACATCAGGAAATTTTATGATAAAATCACAAATTTAATGGTAGGATATGTATCCATAAAAGGGTACCTACCAAATTATTTTTTGATAGATATACATAAAACAAATATGGTAATACTTTTGATGTGATAATAATTTTTTTTTTTCAATTTATTATTGAATACATTATTTAGGTTGTCCTTTCTCTATATGTGTGGAGGAAATTTTAAATTTCTTTGCAATAATTTTAAAAGAAATTTAAAATTTTAAACACATATCCATTTTTAAAACATAATTTTTAAGTCACGTTCTTAAAAAATAACTCAAAAAACTAAAACTAAACATAGTGAATAATTTTTGAGGTAACATTATTGTCATAGTCTCTAGTTTTTCTCTTCTCCATTCTTGAAAGATTATGTTAGGTCCACAATTATGAGGATCTAGTGTAAGTGTTGTGCGTAAAGCACATCAGTGATTATTGTACGGTTTGTGAAATTTATTTCGAATCTTATTTTGATAATTTAAACTGTTGAAAATTTCAGAAATATCGAGAACAATATACCTGTAAAAAATCAAATTGATCGGATATCAATAACCTGTTCATCAAATAATATTAGTATTTAGTTTGATACATACATATTCATTTTTTTATATTTAGATGTTATTTGATGAACAAGTTATTGATATTCGATCAACTTGATTTTTTACAGGTATAGAGTTCCCGATATTTTCTAAATTTTCAACGATTCGAATTATCAAAATAAGACTCGAAATGAGTTTTACGGACCGCACAACAGTATGTTGTGCGTGAACTAGCTCCCAATTTTTATGAAACTTCAAAAAGGTGAAAAAAAAACATTACAATTGGGTGTTGGAGAGAACATTTAAGTTGTACCGTGGGATATGTATTACACCATAGAGCAATGTTAGAGATTTTAAAAGTTTTACTAAAGGTTTTATCAAATGTTTTACATAAATGTGGGACTCACATGGGATCCACACAATGTGGGTCCTATGTCCATTGTTTTACACAAATGTGGGACTCACATGGGATCCACACAGTGTAGGTCCTATGTCTATGTAAGACATTGCTAGAAATTTTAGTAAAATTTTTAAGGTCTCTAACATTTTTCTACACAAAATCTTAGGCCAATTATTGTACATTTGGGATAGTTTAATAACATTGTCAATTTTCAGGCAGTGGCATCAATTCATGATTTTCAGTGGTATCCATTCATTTTTTAAAGTTGAGTATTTACCTAAGGGAAAATGAGTGGGAGTACTAATTAGTGCTACCACTAATGATGTGGCAGTGAGCCTCATCATGAATGATTTGATATTTTGGCATTGATATTGTATTTTTTTTTTATTTTTATTGAGTGTCATATCATTAGTGATCTTTTTAGAGGTCCAAAATTAGTGATTTTTATCATTGTTGTTTACTTAAGGGCATTTTAAGTCACAAGTCGTGTGCCATAACCTCATGGTATGAACTGTCAATTTCAAGGAAAATTACACTGACTTTTTTTGAAATATATAAAAAAATATAGTAAGTTGTTACAAATTTTACATAATTATATTAAATTCTTTTAAGATGTAATTCCGCATAATACTTTGCTCATTTTTATCATAAATCTGTTAATTATATGGACAAAAAAATAAATAAATGGTTTACATAGTGTGTTTTAATGTTTTCACGTTATTAATATTACTTTTGTTTCATCTAACTTTATTAAAAGATAAGTTAATACAATTATTTTGAAACAATGAAACTTGTTACTTTAAATTTTAAGAGATGATATAATTTACCCCTTATTTTACCGTATCTCTAACGTTTACTCATTTATTTTATCAAATTTGAATAAAAACTTCGTTTGATATTCACTTGCTTCAACGAAAGTTTTTGATCTTTCATCAAATTACCGGTCAACCAGGCGGATGTCCAGCTAGTCGATCAGCTAGTATAAATTGCAAAAAAAGTGGATATCCAGCCGAACAACTGGGCGGTCGTCTAGTGTTCCTACACTAACAACTATTTATAGTATTTTGATAAAAGGGTTCACTCATCTTCAATTTGATGAAAAGTTTTAGCCATTCTCAATTTGATATCAAACTAATGATAACGTTGAACCAGGATTTTGATTAGTTTTTAATCAAATTAAAATTTGATAAAAGAAAAAGCGAAATGTTAGAGATAGTTTTAGTAGGAAAGAGTCATAACATAATTTTAGGGGTGGTTTGGCATCCCCTAAATAATTCATATTTTTATCTTTTTTTCATCACATCACCTCTCTACTTTTCTGCACATCTTTTCATAAAAAGACAAAAAGTACACTTATTTAGATCATCCCAAACAATCCCTTAGTATCATTGTTGTACGATAAATTTTGATAAGGGTAATTGTAATTTCTAAAAAACAATACATGTGTTAATAGAAATCATAGGGTTGTAATTATAATGAGCAATATTAGGGATTATGAAAAAAATATCATGAAAATGATCATAAAAGATTTTTCACTTTTAAATTACACATATAATAAAACACCACATACTAATCAAATGATGAAATTTTTTCATGATACATTTTATGATATTTTTTTCATGATCTTTATCATTACTCAATTATAATTTGGGAAATATTATGATACACATATTTTAAAGGGTGTCAATCATATACATTTTATAATTAAAAAAAAAAAAACATAATTTCATAATTGTTGAGTCATAACTAAAAAAATGTCATAACTAAACACAATATGAGATATAATTAAAGATCGCATGAATTATAATTAAAATAATACCATAACTAAAAAAAAAAATAACATAATTAAAAGAGTATCGTATATATTAGAATTTTCTTTATCATTTCCCTTAATAATAATAAACGAATCGGGTTGGTCCGGTCCAAGAAATGTCGTCGGGTGACTTGTGTCTAGGGTTTATATGTCTCGCTAATCGGCTTTGAATCTGATAGATCTGAAGCTCTCTCTCTCTCTCTCTCTTCGATTAGGTTCTCTCGATTTCTTGTTTCAAAGGTAATCTAATCTTCTAATTAGATAACTATATTATGATTTTATATTTACAAATTTTTTCTTTTACTTGTTATCTGAATGGCCTAGGATTCTATATTTTCTGTTTTTTCGTTTGGTTGTTGAGAAATCGACGGAAAATCAAAGAATAAACTGAAATCCTGAGTTTTTCCAAAAGCGAAGAGAAAAAAATAGAGCGACGAACGGTGGGGCAATTATTATTATTGTTATTATTATTTTGTCTGTAACTGAACGGCCTATCTGTTTTGTTTTCAATTTCTACAACTTCATAGGTAACCAAACAAGGGCTCTGGGTTTTCTTTGCATCTGTGTTCGTATGTCGTGTGGGACCAACAGACCAAGTTTTTGTTGGGATTAATCTACGCATGATTGTTGAATCCAAAAGCTTCTTACATAACATAAAAGACATTTTCGTAACTTTTTTGAGCGGGGAACTTGAATCCTGATTGGCCTTTACACGTTTCATAGTTTTTAGATGGTTTATATATATATGTATATTGAAGTTTTAAATGGTTTTTTTTGGATACATTTTAACAAGATGGTGGGTGTGTTTTGTTTGTGTTTGTAGAGTAGTTTTTGAGATAAAAAGTACGAAAACTTGTTTGGTTTGTCTTTTTTTTAGAAATGATTTTGGAAAATTGTTTTGGGGAGAGAGTTTAAAAAAAAATGATTGATTTGATGTGTATGAGAGAGAGAGAGTGATTTTGGAAAGTAGATAACCAAACAAAATCTTGAGATTTTTTTGAAAAAATTTGTTTGGTTTGATTACTCTTGAAAATTTGTTTATAGTGAATTTTTTCCAAAAAAATATTTCTGAAAAACAAACCAATTTTGTTCATGAAACACAATTTAAAAGTTTTTTTTCTTTTCATATTTCTAATGTATTCTTAGCTTTAAGAATAATGTTTTTTTTTAAAATTTTTTTGCTCATTTAATGTTGTCGGCTGTAAGACACAGTTTTTTGTTATTTGCTGTATTGAAGGATACTGATGTGTTATTGCTTCTTGGGTCATTTTCATCCAATCTTTTTTGATGTGTTAATTCAGAGTTATTCTTTGCTTCTCTTTGTTTGTTTAGGCTCAGTCATGAGGAGGTACAGTCCACCATACTACAGTCCTCCAAGGAGAGGATATGGGGGTCGAACGCGAAGTCCCCCACGAAGGGGACCTGGGAATGGTTATGGGAGAAGCAAGGAGCGAAATCATGGAAGCCTTTTAGTTCGAAACATTCCTTTGAACTGCAGGTGATTTTTCTTGTTATGTAACTTGTTACCACTACGGTTTTGTTTTAAAGCAGCTATAGCTATGAATTATACTTTCTGTTTCTTTTACCGTTGGAGGATCCTTCCTAGGGTTTTAAATAACAGCCATTATGTATCGTATCAGCCGTTCTATTTTGGGATTTTGAACTTCTGATACTGTTATTCATTGATTTATTGGCTGATATTATTTGATATTGGCTAATATATAATTGTATATCTGATATCGATACGTATCCCATTACTGTTATTTAAAACCACGATTTTTCCCCCGTTCTTGTTGAGTTCTCTACATGTTTGTCACATAAATCTTTATTGGTGTTTGCAGACCAGAAGAACTTCGAGTTCCATTTGAAAGATTTGGAGTAGTTAGGGATGTTTATATTCCAAAGAACTATTACACAGGGTGAGTTGTTCCTACCAATAATTGAGAAAACCATGTATGTTTCCATTGTTGCTTCAGCTAAATTCAATTTTTCATATCATTACATCTTTGTTGATTCATTTATGGACAAACTGTACTAGGTTAAGAAGCATGGACATGGTGCACGCCAAGTTTCAAAGTTATAATCTTGTAGATCTCTTTTTTTTTTTGGTGTCTACTTCAGTTTCTTATTAGTATCCTCCTTGTAGTAAGTAAGATATTAAAACATTAGGTATTGAACAGTTTGTTGATTTTTGTTTTTGTTTTTGTTTTTGTTGAACTATTTATAAAGGTTTTTTATCCTTCTCTTTTCATGGTTAGTTATGTTTTGAACTGGTTTGTCAGGGGGTCTGTTGGTTTGAAGTTAAAACAAGCCCAAGCCCCACATTTGATGAAGCCCTACTGTTTAACATTGCTTAACATTATTGGTCCCCCAAGGGTGTTAGAGTAATGTTCCAATTGAAGAATGTTCCTTTGATGAAGCCCTACTGTTTAACATTGCTTAACATTATTGGTCCCCCAAGGGTGTTAGAGTAATGTTCCAATTGAAGAATGTTCCTTTATGAAGGGAAATTATATAACTACACAATCAATAGAAGTTTGATGAGGAAGATGGCTGGTTGTTGAACAATTGAAGACTACATGAGAAGATTTTAACTTTGCGACACGGTTGATTTCAAGTGCCTCATATATTTACAAGCAATGTGAAGATTTTTCAAGTCAATTGCATCTTTAGAAGTTGCCTTTCATTCTTGAATTTAGAGGAAAAGGTCAGCCACTAAGCTTGGATTCTAGCTACTTTTATGTATATTTTGTTTCCACTTCAGTGTAAGTGCACTGAAGCTGATACTTGTATATATCAGGAGAAAGGTAAAATGAGTAATGGTGACGTTGTAGTGGTATATGCTATTTTTGGTTAGTGATCTTTTGCTATATGTGATTGCGCTCATATGCAAACTTAAGCACTTTCGATAAATCTTTTGTTTTTCTCCCATGCAGGGAACCTCGGGGCTTTGCATTTGTGCAGTTTGTGGACGCTTATGATGCAGCAGAGGCTCAGTATCATATGAATAGGCAGATATTTTCTGGGAGGGAGATATCTGTGGTTGTTGCTGCGGAGACAAGGAAAAGACCTGAAGATATGCGCCGTAGAACTAGAGTCAGGTAATATCTTTATTTATTTTGTTGTTTTTAAATTTTCAATGACTGTACAATTCATCATTTCTGACTTTCCTATGATCTATTGTAATACAGAGAACCATCAGGATATGGAGGTCGGCGATCCCATTACGGTATGTTGTATTGGACATTTCAATTGCTAACTAACAATACATTTTCAATGACGGGAACTTTCTGATTTTCCTTACAACAATCCATCAGCTCCCCTCCCATAAATAAATAAAACTCACTAAAAGAAGATTAAAAGAGCTTGGTTTATATGCAAATGAGAATCTTCTTTCTATGTTGTATTGCACCCTTGTTCTAGGATGGCTCGCTGTTTGGAGGGCCCAGTTGACTTTTTCATTTGTTGCCATTCCAAACTAGTTCTGCCCTTCCATCGAATTGTAGTTATTTTAAGTGAGAGTCTTTTCCCTGGAGTATCATTTTTCTGAAGATGTCTAGTAATTCAGCTGGTGAGTTTGCAGTACACTAACAGTTTTAAGTTTGGAGTTTCCTGTCACATTCTGGCCTGCTGATGTGGGTGAGTCAGAGAATTAGATTGCTTAGACTTCTGTTGTTGTATGAGTAAGCTTTGAAGTTGAGACTTAGGATATGAAGGTAAAATATTGTAGTGTAACGTTGACGAGTCCCAGCCTCTCAATTGAAATAATTTGGATTAAAGTAATAGTTTGTGTCATCAAATAATTAGGAAATGTAAAAGTTTATGTTCTTGATAAATTTGAACTTTAATGTTTAGTGACATTATTTTTGGGGAGTTTGTTTTAATTTATCTTGGGTGTGATAAGCAGTACCTATTTTCTTTTCTTTTAAAAAAAAAAAATTTGTTCTGTATCTGATATGCTTCAGGACGATCTCGGTCTCGTTCAGTATCACGTTCTCCTTCTCCTCGTTACCCTTCTGGTTCTCGAAGTCGTCATCGTTCAAGGTAAGTTCCTATGGTTACAAGTTACTGATATCTCATTTGAATGTTATTGAATTAGGTGAACAAGCTTGCATTTTATTGATGTCAGGTCTTATTCTCCTGCGCCAAAACGTCGAGTTGACTACTCCATCTCCCCAAGTGGAAGGCATGCAGACCACCCAAGATCATCAAGAGAACCCCCAAAAGAGCGATATAGTGACCGCAGTCGCAGGTCATATTCTCCAGGTTATGAGAATGATGCTGACCAAAATCAAAATGGCAATGGGTATAAGGAGTAAGTGAAAGTACAACTATACCATATAGTTCTATCAATGGTACAATTTTACTAATTGAAGGATTGGTTTTTTTAAAAATTTTATAGAGACATGTTTGAAAATCCTCAAGTTATGTGGGATTCCTGATAGAAATCATGATTTCTATAATGGATTGTGACGTCATTGTTACTAGTGAAATCCACAGTTTTCTTCTATAGGGCACTTTGGTTCTCCTTCCCGGTTCTATGATGTGCATCAACCACCCAGCCTGGCCAAGCCCAGTCCTTTCCTCTATCTTCCTTCCCGCAAAGAAAAAAAGAAAAAAAAATCTTTCTTCTCTGAAGGGCAGTGTTTCTCTCTATTACCTGGTAGTGATAATGAGTGCTGGTCAAATTAAGCATGTATGATGTATGTGAGGTTCTATTAGGGTTGACTTCAATTCAAGTATGCTCTCTTGTTTGGACCTACTATTTTGAGGCAGGGTGATGAAGTATATTACCTGTGTCTGGGGACTCTTGGTCCAACAATCACTTGATCCAAAAGCCACAAAATATGATAATGACTAGCTCTTGAATTGTAGCCTTTGGATCAAGTGTTTGATGATGGCTAGACAAAATAAGTGCTGGAGAGGATCTGGATTTTGAGGCAGGGTGATCCTTGGACTCTTGGTGGACGTTTGGTTTGGAATTTTTTTCCCCCGTTTTCATTTTGGGGATTTGAAACTGTCTGGAATTGATGTTCATGTGCATTTCTTTTTATAGCTTTTCCTTTTAGGTTGGTTGCATGTGAATTATTAGATACAACTTTGTAGGAAAGTTGCATGTGAATTTATTAGATACAACTTTGTAGGAAAGCTTTGTACGAGTCTGATGAAGCACGTGCACACTGGAGGACTTCTTCACCTGGACGAGCTTCGAGATCACCTTCTGGATCTAGATCTAGGTCTGCTGATTTGTCACCCAGGCGCAGCAGATAAATGAAAGTCAAGGTAAATTCAGATGCCTACATTTCCTTCAATTTATTTGTTACTTGCGCATCTAATTGCGGATCATCTATTGTGAAGATCTTTACTGTCTTTTATTTGATTCTTCATTCATGGGGTATGTATCTTGCAGATGGAGGTGGTGCTTCTCATCTTACCGGTCAGAAGGAACATGTGGAAATGGCCTGTTCTGTCTTTAAATCCAATGAATCTGTATGGTTTGAATTTTTGTCATTAACATTATTATCTCCGGCTTTTTGTTGTGCTTTGGTGTTCTAATCATCTACTCTACTATCAAAAGCATTGTGTACCAACTGCTAATAGATCGTATGCCACTCAACTTTTATCTTGAATATCTTTTTGTTAGTTGAGACGAGTGCATGTAACATAAAAGTGTCCCTCTTGTTTATGAATCATAGACTGATGAATCATGCTCATTAAACCTTTTTTTGTTTTTTGATAATGTTCATTAGACCCTTGATTGTTGGATTATTGTGAATTTTGATAATGCTGTCGAGACTTGGAGAGAGATGAGTTAGGTCATAGGTGAGGAATATTTTGATTTACAGCTTCAGGAAACATAAGATTTGTGAGAATGTCATTTAAAAGGTGGGAGTGATGGTTGGTTCAGTTGGAAATTGGATTGTGATCATGACCTGAATTCCAGTGCTATAGGTTTATTTGGTGAGTGAGCATAGTGTAAGTAGTCATTTTCATTGATGCCTTTGAACTCATGAGGATATGATCTTTCATAGTCTTTCTATGGCATTGTCACAAATTCATCACAACAATATGTGTGGGTTACACATGGGATTAGCCATCCGTTGATGCGCGGAAGGCTTGGATGAAAAAGAGCGGAAAGTGATTATTTTCTCACTAGAAAAGCAATTACCGGAGGGAGTAGGGTTTTTTTTTTCTCCAATTTTTGTTGCTAAATTGGAACCTGAAAAATTCAAATTTGGATTTCATTGGTTTCTTTTGTACATTAATTATGCTAAGTTAAAAAAATAAATTTATTTTTTTTATTTCGGATATTTGTTTGAAATAAAAAAAGATTTATTACTTGCATTTGGATGTTAACAGTTAAAGTAGTGGATTTACATTTTTTAATACTTTCTAAGTTCAAAATTTAGAATATTTTTTAAAAAAAAAAATTTATTTTAGAAGTATCGAATCTGAAGTTTAGGGATTCAAAATCAGTTTTGTTTGCAATTACATAAGATTTAGATAACTCATTTACGAAATTGTAGTTTTTGACTTGGTTATAATACAAAATGTTGCAATTCTTGCAAGTGAAAAAGCCTTCATGATGTCACTTTCGTTATTGTCATAGCCCACTAAAATATCTCACTATTGTTTATTTTCCTATCAAATCATGTATTGGTTCCACATAAATTATTAAACAAGAATAAATAAATTAAAATATCATGACTTTTATTGACTTGATGATCTGACAAAGAAGTTGCTTTCTATTTTTTCTATGGTTTGTCAAAATCCTTATAAATATGAATTGAATTGATGTAGCTATAATTATTGTACCAATCTTAATCTTTTTCTGAAAAAGTAATTTAAAACTATTTATTTTGAAATCATTTCTATAATTTGTCAAGAAAGTGATTATATATATATTTTTATTGGAATGACACATTGCGTGTTGTATGTGCTGGACCTACTTGATTTTTCTTTTTTCTTACTCGGGTATTTATTTTTGATGATTTTGGTTGGTACTTATCTTGGACATTCTTTAAACTCACCAACCGATCAATAATATATATAGACACCGTATAGTAAAGTTTTACGACAGTAACAATGGTAAAAAAAAATAAAGAGCTAATTATTTGTCATAATTAATTTTACATAGATAAAATTTAAGGAAAAGTTATGGGCAAGTTTTAATAGGTGGATTTATTGTCTAATAAGTCCTGTGAGAATTAATTACATTTTTCATCAAACACTATTAAAAAATGTCATTAATTGTTAATTTTCAACAATAGTTATTACTAATTATAAGTTTTAACAACAGTTTAAAAAAATCGTCACCAAAAGGTTATTAATTTTTTACTTTCAACAATAATTTGAAAAATTCATCATAGAATAACTTCATTAATTATAAGTTTTAACGATAATTTATAAAAAGTGTAACAAAAAAAGTTATTAATTGTCAAATTTTAGAGACATACGCAAAAGAATCATCACAGAAAATTATTTTTAGTACTAGGACTTAATTTTAATAAAATTTAATGAGAATTATATCTAACTATTAAGATTTATTGATAATTTATCTTAGAATTAAATGGAAAAAGCATTAAGAGTTAATATGTTAGTGGTTTTATTTTTATTTTGATAATTGGAAATTGTATCCTAGTAAAGTTTTTTAGAGCCCACACAAAAAACATAAATCTGATGATCAAGTGACCGAAACGTATCAAGCGACGCCATTGATTTTTGGAGGTAAAATGATGACGAGTCTAATGAGTTTTAGTAACGCTAATGTGTACATTCACATTCCTAATATTTTTAAGAGAATTTATGGGTAGGTCTTATTAAATGGATAATTAATAATTTTTTATTACTAATTATTAATTTTTAGCTACAGTTAAAAAATTTTGACATAAAAAATGTCACTAATTCAAGTTTTAACGATAGTTTAAAAAAATCGTCACAAAAAATGTTACTAATTTTCAACTTTAAATAACAGTTTAAAAAATGATCACTAATTGTAAATTTTAGCGATAATTTACAAAAATCATAACAAAAAAAGTTACTAATTGTCAATTTTTAATAACATAAGTAAAAAATCGTCATAAAAAATTATTTTTATGGACGATTGTACCGATATTTATTTTTAATAGGATTTGATGAGAATTAAGTCTGTTAATCATATTATTTAATTTTGATGATGTCTAAAATATATTAGTTAATATACATATTATTTGACACAAATTATTATCTTTTTAAAAAATATATATATTTGTTAAATATTATTTAAATAAAATAATATTATCTTTTTAAAATATATATGTTAAATATTATTTTAAATATTTTCAAAAACTTTACTATTCACTTTTTGAAAAATAGGGTTAATTACTATTCATCTTTTGACAAATCGATTAATTATATTATTTTGACAAAAATGATTATTTTCGCCTCTCTCTCACTCATTTATTTGAAAAATAGGGTTAATTACTATTCATCTTTTGACAAATCAATTAATTATATTATTTTGACAAAAATGATTATTTTAAATATTTTCAAAAAACTTTACTATTCACTTTTTGAAAAATAGGGTTAATTACTATTCATCTTTTGACAAATCAATTAATTATATTATTTTGACAAAAATGATTGATTGGTTGACAAATTTGATATTTATGGGTTGTCTTATTTTGACAAAATTAATATGGAGTGGCACAGTGGTCTAATAATTACATTTAGTTTTAAAAGTCTTTACAATCCATATATCAATTTTAAAGATGACATATATTTTCAGATCATCATAATTTATTTATAGAGATTTTCTGTATTGCCAAAATTCTGATCAGAACTTATATAACATTATATGGCGAATACATTCACAGTGCGCTATTTAAATTTTTTACACTAACATCAATTATATCATATTAATAATTAACAGAAAGAACAGATGGAGTTATGTATATATGTTATATATATTATATATTTAAAAACTAGATGGAACGAAAATTATTGTTTGTTGAAACTTGTGAACTTTGTATTAAATTGATCTATCAACAAACGGTGGCTCCAATGTTTAAAAAAAACAAGAAGAAAATCAATCTTATATTTTATAATTTTTAATTCTTATCATTTCGCTGACTATTTAATTTAAGGAGTGTGCTTAATTAAGCTAATGACATCAAAGCCTGCTTATGTAAGCGGATGACATACAGGAGCGTGCTTGATGTAAGCCATGACGTCTAGGAGGTTGCTTATGTAAGCCATGACGTAGGAGCGTGGCCGTTGATGTAAGATGACGATCGATCAAGGAGGATCCAACGGGTTATATTCTTTGTGTATAAATAGAGTGTTGGGATTGTGGAGAGAAATCAAGAACTTAAAGAGAAAAATATTTCTCGTGAGCTTCCAAATTACATGAGTATTCTGCCTCTTTCACTTTCAGATTCTAAGTCTGAGTTTTGTTTCTGACACTTTCATATCTACTCTTTGTTGAAGAGACATATTATTAGTAAAAGTGGGTTATTAGCCACTTAATTACTTATTCTAATTTTTTGTGAGAGATTTTTGTAAGGGGTAAGGATATTATTGTTGGTGAGACTCAATAGATAGAGTAAAGTCCTGTGCCAATCCACTAAGCTTGGATGGTGTATTATCAATTTGATGTAAAAAAATTCTCAAGGGATGGTCACTGGGGAAGGTAGAGGTGAGTGGACGCTGAGGCGTGGCGTGAACCGTTCCGACCCGCAAGTTATCGCCTCAACCTGTTTATTTGTCTCATTCGCTATCTTCTACCTTTGATATTGATAATTATTCATTCTGTTTGCTTTGGGTATTTTATTCTAAGTTATTTTTTTTCTAAATTTATGGTTGTGTGTGTTAGTATATGTAATGAATGGTGAAATTTTTTAGTAAGATCCCAATTCACCCCCCCCCTCTTGGGTGAGTTGCTCAATCCTTGGGATAACAATTGGTTATCAGACCACTAGACTCTAGTTTTTTGTGACTTAACCGTCACTCAGAGTAGATCAATTAGGCAACCCCTAGTTATTCCTTACCGGAGGACAAGGCATCTAAATAGCCACCTCTAATTTAGCGGCACAAATTTAGCTATCTTTAGTTTCATCCGATTTAGCATCAAATTTTCCTAAATTATCTTTATTGTTATTTAATACAAAGCATTTACAACCAAAAGCACGCAAGTGACTAATATTAGGTTTTCTACCTTTCCAAAGTTCGTAAGGAGTTTTCTTAAGAATAGGTCTAATCATGGCACGCGTTTATAACATAGCATGCAGTGTTTACAGCTTCCGCCCAAAAATATTTAGGCAAATTATTTTCACAAAGCATAGTACGAGCCATTTCTTCAAGAGTTCTATTTTTTCTTTCAACCACACCGTTTTTTGAGGAGTCCTAGGGGCTGAGAAATTATGATCTATTCCTAAGTCATCACCAAAACTTAATAAAATCATCATTTTCAAATTCTCTACCATGGTCACTTCTAATACTACAAATATTAAGATTTTTCTCATTTTGAATTCTTTTTACAAAGTTTTGAGAAATTATAAAAAAGCTTCATTTTTGTGTGTTAAAATAATACCCATGTATATCTAGTGTAATCATCAACACAAACAAGGGCATAAGATTTTCTCCTAAACTTAATGTTCTAGATGGTCCGAATAGATCAATATGCAAGAGTTGAAGCGGTCTAGTAGTTGAAACGATATTTTTGGATTTAAAGAAAATTCT